AATATCCAATTTCACTTTCAAACACTTCTGGGCAAGTTGCATGACATGACTAATTACACTTTAACAAAAGCGTACAATTTGAAGTCGGACTGGTCTAACTGCCCTAAAAAATATCAAAATCATGTTTTTTTCACCCTCACTAGCACTACAATGCACGTGTACTGTACAGGGACTGGGTAAAAAAGAATGTGTGATGAAAAGAGGCAAAATTTAAAATGCAAACTCAGGCATTTTGACACGTTTGTGAAAAAGAGACATGTTGAGAAGGCCTGCGTGAGTCAGCACGCCGTGAAGGCACTCATTCAGTGGCCTCGGTGATCCCTGCCGCACAGACTGGTCCTCCCCCAGCTGTGACAGGGGTTTCCCAGCCAGTGGCAAATCACCCAGGGCAAAGTGGGCGTCAGTGGGCTGTGAAACAGCGCCACCTGTGAACCTGCAGCTGTTGTCAGAGTTTCATTCCTCTCCTCGAGCTTCCACCCCACCTCCCGCGGACACTGCAGGGCACACAGCGTGGAAAACTGGAGACGCCTTGGACCAAAAAGACCAAAGACGCCATGTGACTAGAGTACACGCTCATCAGATAAACAACGCAAACCAAAATGTATGGGCTTGAAGCCTAAAATGCTTTTCTTACATGAGACATTTCTAACCAAATGTTCTTAACATTTCTTCATCATATTAGCCTAAGACCCTGGAATATTAAACCAGTGAAGGGTTTTATTTTGTTATTGTCGGTAGTGGTTTGTAATCGGTACAGCTCAACATTTTGTATGAAGAACAATGCCATATTAAGCATCAACCTTCTGCTCACAGCTTTGTCAGCATCTACCTTAGCTGCTCTGAAATGACAGTATAGAGTTAAAGACATAATCTTCAGTTTGAGAAACCAAGCCTTGAGGTTAGGGAAGCTAGTTTCACACTAAGATGCCCTAAATCCCTCCATTTTGCATGGGCTGAAAAGACATTACGAACCCTTTCTTTATGGGAACAGGGTCTTTGACTCAAGCATTGAGTCTCCTAGGATATCAAGTCCATATATAAAGTGTAGTGTATTCACACACTGCAGCTGTAGGACCAGCCAACAGTCCACTCGATGCTATGCTTCAAATTCCAGAAATGTACGAAATGAATGGAGGTTTTGTTGAGATGGAGCCCCGAGACCCAGGGTGACTGGAAAGAGCTGTGTCCTGTCGCCATGGAAACATCTCCAAAGGCTCAAGCAGCTGCAGACAGTCAGCTGATGCCTGCTGGGCTCTCCGTGTCTTACAGCAACACGTTTTTGTTCTGAAAACTGAGAGACAGGTCGTACAGCACTTCTCCCTCATCCACCCTGCGTTTCTTTCCTGTTTGTCTTGTTCAGTTTTTTTTCAGTGGTAAGAATGGATTTTGTTACAACAATCATAGAGGGAAGAAATGGGAGCCAAGTGGATAAATGCCCAAAGCATTTTCATGCAGAAATGAAGTACGGTTTGCTAAGACAGTCATTGCCCAATAGTGGGGACGTCAGACACTGTGGATGGAATCAGAGTGTCATACACTAAAAATTGTTTCCTTGGATCACCTGCTCAGCTGGGCTTGTCTGTAAAAAATAATGATCAAATAGATCTCTTGTCTTAGTTCTTTTTCTCAGTGTAGAATTGCTTGATTTGGCACCAAAGACTACTGTTTAAGAAAAATGTAGTGTTTAAGTTTTTTTGTGACGCTGGATATCAGGTGAATTTGTTTAAACATTGATTAAAAATATTAAATCTGAGTTTGGTAGTGTTCATTTGATAAATTAGAAAAAAATTAAAGAGCCATGGAGATTTAACACATGAATGAGCCCTGTGAGAATAGCAACCAGATCTTTACGCAACCCAGCACCAACATATTGAACATTAAGGGTGGTTCGTCTGACCCCTCAGAAAACCGTTGCTAAATGCTGGATGTGTGAGGACAATGCAGCCAATAGAGATTCTGTAACAGTGGTGGATATAAAACAGAAAGAGTATCTCTTTCAGGACCTGCATTTTTGTGTGTGTGTGTGAAAGAACAGAGACCGTGAGCAAAGAGTTTCAGTTTTTCTTTTCAGACTATTTATAAAGTTATAGAAGCCCCTTCATCATCACCAGCCAACACACACCCACCCACCTATGCATACACCAGAACATTCTTGTGCGGTTTCCTGTTGATATAAAACAAATTTAAAATGGCTAAAATTAAACCACGTAACATATTTATTCAAAACCATATATAGTCATGGGCAAATGGAGGCAATAAGCACACTGACATATGGGAAAACCAATAAATAAATATCTAATGGTTATGTGCTATCAGATATAGAATAAATTACATTAGTACGTTTTAAGTGTATTAAAGGGGAAACTGGTCCTCCAGCAGGTCTCTAGAAAAGGACCATTTAAGCTGAATTCTGCTGCAATTAGTCTAAAATCCCCCACCCGCCACCCAAATGAATTGGAACTTAAAGATGTCTGTGATGATGATGTATACATAAGGTTGAAAGCTATAAGGATTCAGAACTTCCTGATAGTAAGAACCTGTTATGATTAGTCTTGCACGTTGGGGAGAGTCAGTGAGTTCAGAAGAACAACCACACACAGGCACACACTCACTCTGATGGCTGCCTTCTGACACAACACGATAGCATCAGACGTTGTTCAGTCTGGAAGTTCTGCTAACCACACAGTAATGAAAAGGTACGGTACAGTAACAAAGGAAACTCTCAGCCGTTACTCGTAGCAGAACCATGTGACCTCAGAACTTCCCCTGACAAGGAGAGCTTGGTGACATACAGTGTGATTTAGCTGAACCACAGTGGTCACAATGAGTAGTATCCTACATTATGGTTTAAAGTCTAAGTTTGTGATGAGGGCTTTTACTTCTTAAAGCTGCATCCAGATTTAAATGGTAAAAGAAACGTTTCTGAGGAAGTGAGATAATCATCCCTCCTCAATTTCCTTACATGGTCTCTTTGAATCTTGCTGTTCTCTGCGATTGGTATTACAGACAAGACAGCAAAGAGGTTGGTCTTGGATTTTTTTGTGTCATGAGGGGGAGTAAAAGATTTAATTAGCCGTATTTTGCCACATCCTATAAGCCTGTACTTAAAAAGCCTTGAAGATGCTGGTTTACACTTCTGCATGTGACTGATATTTTTTTAACCCAAATATGAAGGGTTGAAAGTTAAAGGTACTGTACACTCAGCAGTTGTAGTGTTATAATTGTTCAAAAAAAGGTTTACACCTTTTAACTCAGACATTAAACTTTTACATTGTAAAAAAACAAAGGATAGACCTGGTTCCCAACATACAGGACCAAAGAGGTCACAGAGTCATGAATAAGTAAATAGAGTAATGTCCTAGTTCATTGCAGTCTTTGTTAACTACTGCTACTGTACATCTTCATTTACAACCTTGGTGTACAGAATGGCTTACAGGAAGATACAATTGTTTGAATGGATTTTAAAATGCGCATGATGAAATTGAATACAGAACAAGGCAGTCGAAAAATGGTAACACTCTAACCCTCCTGTGCAGGAAACTTAAATTAAAGTGTGTGTGTGTGTTTTTTGAGGGGGGTGAGTTCTCTTATAATTGTTGAAATATAGCAACAAAAATAACTGCATCTCTTAACTCTAGCTGCTTTTAATGCAGTGTCTAAATTAGAAAACCTGAACATTTAGTTTTCTCAGCAACAATTATACTTACGAGATGCCAGTGTGCAATGTGAAAATGAGAACAATTGGATAGAGAGGAGAAGAGGGACTACCCTTTGGTATCATAGCTGAACACATGCCTATTGTGGCTTGACCTTGCAATGCCAGTTCACTAACAGGCCCAAAACAAATTTTACAGACAACCAGACTGACTGGTTGAGCAGCCGATATACGACGAGCGTTGTGCGCCCTCATTATCGTCACCCCTCCTGCTACTGGTTATCTGACCGATCAGCAGCCCAAACAAACAAACTGCGGCGCAGGTGTGTCGCAGGTCTGGTGGTGAGGAGGAGGTCATGTGCGCAGACGCCTTCTAAAACATCTCCGCTTTCAGTCCTAACCTATGAAGTGTGGGAAAAATATCTTTCACAAGAGGCGTGGTTACAAATGAATAACATGTTCTTTCTGTTGAGTAACAAGGAGGACATCTGATTCCGTTGCAAGTTTTTCTTTTTGAAGATGTCAGGCCACATTTGCGCAACTGGTACAGTTGACCTGGGAGGTACAGATTTCTTTTCACACTGTCACGCACATTCATGAGGTTTTCAGCACAGCTTAGCACGGAACAATGCACTGCATATTTACAAAATGCTGTGTTGTACATATTCAGTGCATGAAACATGAATCTGCTTTTTCAATATGTTATGAATGGTCGGTTGTAACATCCAGTATGCTGTAAAGGTTCGAATGACAAAAATGTATTTGTTGTTCCTTACTGACAAAATATAACTGGTACTAACATAATCTTTATGCTTTTACTATCCATATGGCTACATGGTATGGCATGCTAACACATACTGGCTACATTTGAGCTCTTGTGAGAAATGGAAATTTGAAGTCCTGGTCAGGGCTGCAACAGGCGAGCCCATCTGCAAAGCACAGGGTTGGAGGCAGGGCTGATATCATGTGATTGCTCTGACCCTGAATGGGACACCAGTCCATTATAGGGCCGAGACAAAAGGAATACTGTAGGTGAGAATACTCAGTCTAACCTAGCCGGCTTGTCTGCGGGCTATAGAAGGAAAACAGAGCAGCTGGTGAAAATCCACATGAACACAGGGAGCAAATGCAAGCTGTACAGTATACAGACTGGAGCCCCTTGGGGCAGGGTGGCACCTAGCATCCTGCAGCTGCAAAGCAGACGTCTGACTACTATGCCACAGTGCCAGCCTGGATAATAGATTTCAGAAAGTTAAATTACAAGAAAGTTGTAAGTTTTGTGCCGCAGTATAAAAGAGTAAAAAGATAACCCATGTGAAATCCATATTGTGTTTGAAACCCACAGGTATTTACCACGAAGAGAAATAATTCATCCATCTAAACGTTCTTGGCCTGGATATTGTCGTCTGCAGCCTGACTGTATTGTTACCACCCTCATACGAAAGAAGCTCTCGAATGGACTTCCCTGAAGGTGCCTGAGCAACTTATTTCTCCTTTGAGGGGGCTCTCCCCACCCGTCGACTGACTACACTTTCCCAAAACTATCACTTTTCAAACTTGATTGCACACCCCAAAAAGATATGCGCGTACGCAACAGAAGCGTTCAGATAAAGATGTCGAAACCCACGACGTACTGCAGCTTACCTTGGTTTGATTTTAAATCCCTCATATCCCGTAAATCTCTTTGCTTCCTGAAAGGCAACTCCTCATTCACCACGTTGCCACATAAAAAGGCATGAACAGCAATGTAACCCAAACCCTCTAAGGAAAGAGTAGGAGATGGTAGCTTCTGAGGCCCCAGACGGAACACCACTGTGTTTCTGATCAAAGTAATGATACATAGCATGATACTGATAATTACTATTTGCATTTAACACATATTAATATATTTAAGGCCATTTTGTCTATACAAAACACTCATTCGTGTTTAGAAAGCCAGTTTATGCTGCATACTGTAGTACAGGAAATTCCTATTCACCTAATTTTTAATCTAAGTAGTTAAAAGTACTTTGAAAGTAAACTCACTCAGTTATTAAATGTGCAGTGAAAGCCGATGTGACAGCAGAGAAACTTTCTGATGTTTCAACTGGGGACAGCTTGGTCAGGAAAGAGGAACTGCAGAACTGATGCATTTATCAGTCTTGTGGACTTTCTAATGTGCAGCTGCTTAAACACTGGCCAACCTGGGAAGCATCCCCTGTTCAGAGGTTAGCCTCAGTCCTCACTGGCCTTTGAATAGCTCAGTTAAAAAGATGCAGCCATAATCAAAGCGATCCCCCGTGGAAACATGACTGAGCTGAGTGTGCTTCTCTTTACAGCTAATAAGCAAAGTCTGAAATCATGGCTTGTCGTCATAAATCAGGATTTTACAGCAGTATTGAAGGAGCTTTATGATGTGGGGGCTGTTAGTTGTAATAGTTTACAGCCCTCTAGAAATACCATTAGCCGAAAGATCCTTTCCCCACAATTTGTTATTCAGTAATTTAGGAATTGTCCTTTTGAGGCGTATCAAATTTTGTTCACAACAGATTCACCTAGGCTGTGAGTGCATAATGTGTTCATTTGAGATGAAGGTGTGGTCCTCCAAAGATATTGATTATTTTTACAATGACCTGCTGGTCTAATGCACAGCAGGCAGGGAATAGGAACAGCAAAGATTTAAACACCTGTCAGGACAGTTGATCGAGCAATTACATACAACTCCCAAAAGTCTACCATTACAGTAAAAACCATGCTGCTTTGTACACTCCATAGATGATTTTCTGACTTTTCTTCTATTGAAAATAAACAAGTGGCCATACAATATGTTTTGCATGACTACCTTGCAAAATGTCTTTAATTCCAATTTTTCATGATGCTGTGTAAGGCTATTGAAAACAGACAAGTCTTTGCTTTCCCTTTATTCACAGGAGGCCTTGTGTATGAATGGACAAGGGAGAGAGGAACGGTAGTGTTACAAAGAAAAGACCCTCTCATGAGTTCAGAGCTGAAACTTTCCTTTCATTATTGGGATGAAATGAAGACAGGAACCTGTTGTCACAATAACCTGATACAGATGAACAAAAGTGAACGAAAATGTTCAAAATAGGGGCTTTTTTATAGGTGATGTAGATATTGTGGGCCTGAATATTAACGTATATACAGTAGAGCAAACATTCTATAAACTGTGTAAGAGGCCTGGACAAAAACATACTTTTGAACATGAATGTTAAATTAAACTATCTGCCCTGTCTACCTCACAGTGCTCTGTCTAAGCTTTATCAAGGTGGAAAGTTTTTAATGAATGAACAATTTTAACAAAATGTTTAATGAGAGTAATAAAGTATAGGAACAGCTACATGAAATTTTGCGTGACAAGTAATATATTTTCTATTACTTTTTTGTTATTATTATTAACAGGAAATAAGAATTATACAAGATAGGGTATTTTTTGCCTAAATAGTTTAAACTTAAATTAGTTTTCATTGAATGTTTCAAGTCAGAGAAATGAGTTTCCCATTTAACTGTAAAAAATGTTATATTTGACTGGATGAAAAATTTACAACGTGTCCTGGCTGTTTAATTCAGTGATACCCGTTTATTAAAAAAAACTTCCAACCCAATTGCTCTTTGTAGTAGAGAACTGCTGATATATTATGCTACAGCTAAACTGTTTCTGGCTTTGACATTGAAGCAGCAAGGATGCAAAACAATGATAACCCTGATCCTTTCTGCTTAGCTGTATCATGATAATTTAATCTTAAGAATGACAGATACATTTGTAAAAGAAGGTCACCAGTTTGATTCATAGTCCTTGCTTGGGAAGAATGCAGCTGAATCCAGCGTTACACTGAGACACAGTGGGACACAGTGGTGACAAAGTATAAATCAGATACTGGTTTATCAGCTTGCTGACTGGTTTTATACTGGGGTTCCTGCTTTTGGGTAGCCTCTAGAATGCATCTTCTCTTAGTATGTATATCTAATGTATCTGTATCTAACGTACCTATAGATCACTTTTTACAAATTAGTTGCACAAAAAAGGTTTTCCTATTTTTTAATGAGTTGAATCAGCAGCCACTTATCCTGAACTAGATCTCAGTCTGTGGTGGGTGAATAATGATAATTTAGACTACTTTGCTACTTTAAAAGCCAAAGAAATATTCGCAGGACCAAAAGAATTACTCAAAACGAAGCTGATTGCCCAAACACTTCAATGACCCTATTTAAACATAATTTATGTCCGCTCTTATTTTTTGTCTTAGTTTTTAAAGTCTGTGATTTCAGCACCCTGCTAGACTGCACTGAGCCTGAGCAGGGTTCCCAGTCTCCAAGAGCTTCTGTTCTAACAGCTTTCTCTCTGTTTCAAGCCCCTTTTCTGTTCCTGCCTGTCAGGGATTTACAAAAAGCACTGAAACTTCCCGCCTGTCTGGTGTTAAAACTTTGGAATTTCCCCCATTCTAGTTCCTTGAGGCAGAATAAAACAGTGGCACAGACACAGGGACGGATGATGAACCACAGCCCAGGCTGGATTGCAGGTTTAGATCACTCGAGGAAGGTGGAGTTGAGCAAGCTGTTAATAATGAGACGGTTTCAGTCATCCCCTCAGGAATTACCCTTTGCTTTCACTTACAGATATTTTTTTTTTCGTGAAAAAATAAGCTTTTATTCAATTGGGATATTGTTAATGCCTTTAAATAAGAGATATCATTAGGAAAAAATAAAAAGTAAAAGACTTCATAATGCGAAAAACTCAGTTTCCAGTCGAAAGTGTTGATTTTTTTCTTGCCATGTGACTGAATGAGGAGCGTGATGTCATAAGACAACATAGGCCTTTTTTACTGATCGTTCTGAAGTCTGGAATTGCCGCTTTGTTTTCCTGAAACTCCTCATGATCCGAAAGCAGATGTATTCCATTTTTTTTCAAAGCGCCAAAAATAATCTAGGTGCAGAATGTCCAACATTCTTTTTTGCCCTTCAGCGGTGTACGTTTCCTTGGCCTGTTGCTTCAATACATTCCTGTAACAGCATCACCATGGGTGAGTACACATAAGTAGATCATAAATAGTAATTGCAGAGCTAGCACAGGCACACAGTGTACCACACCTTAGGTGCTACAAGTTCAAGTTCCAGCAGGAAGTTTAAGTTTCTTGTAAGAATGTGGCAAGTCTCCAAGACCCTTCTTTTGACACTCGTGTGTGGTTTTTTTACATTATGATGGAAGACAGTCGCTTCCCCATTGGTAGAAAAAGTACAGACTGACATAACCCATGCGGGCTGAACTAGTACAAGCTGAAGCTTCAAGAACAGGCTGTGACAGGCAAAGTCTTTGGGGAGCTGAAGGAAGATGCTAATCTTACAGAAGAACCTTACCGTGCTGCAGATCAAAATAATCATTTCCTAGTCATACGTCTAAATAACACAGACTTCAACAAAGCTTAACCCTTTGTTTATGCTCCTAGACATGGAAGCACAAGCTTTGCTACATGCATGTAACACCCTGCACTTGTCCACAGTGCATTAAACACATTCTGGCAGGTGTTTTATTTGTTCCAAAGCTTCAGTTTTTTTTCCCAAGGTCTTCGAATCCTTTTTTTTTACAGCAGCACTTTTTTCAAATCCCATTAACTTTTACTTTGACTTTTCAATGGCTCAACACAACATACTTCAGAGAGAATTAAAGATATGTGCAACAGACATTTTTTGGTCAGTTTTTTAATTGTAGTTGCCTTGCTTATTCCGAAAATGCGGCTTTTAAATCCTTCAAAGTCCATAAACAGTTGTACCATCAATGTACCATGACTCATGACGATACACAGAATTTAAATGGACACAATTCCAAAACACAGAAAATAGTGCCTAACTACCATTTATGATACAACAAAAGGAAGTCAAGTAATACTATTGGCAAACCAGCATTAAACATGAGATTCAGTAGTATGTTGAAAGAATTTCCAGTTAAATCATTTTGGAAGAGAATTTAAAGGATTAGGAAACAGGCCGGCATGAAAAAAAATAGATTCTCTTAAAGACTTAAATATGTTCACACAGTACTGCAATGACATTTTCTGTTTCACAGAAAGAATGATAGTCTTGCAAAACTTAATCTGGTTAGGCAATGTTTTTATGTCACACATTCATCACCAAAGGGCCGAATGCCAAGGAGTTGCTCAATTTATATTTACTTAAAAGTTTGGCAGAGTTTACAGAGGCGTTTGCCCTCAAACTAAACAAAAGCGAATTGTGTGACTCACAGTCCTTTTAGGTATGCTCCAGGGACTTAAACAAGACATCCTGTTTGTGCAGAAAAGTGGGAAATTGACTTGATTTTTGTTAACTGTTTCACTTCCCCTGATGGATTAAATATTTAGAACATGAAAGACTTTTGTATGGATTACTGTTTTAGAAGAGCAATGGATTAGTAGGGAGGAATTCAACACTCATTGTGGAATTCTGCTTTGAGAAACAAAATATGTACCACATTTATTTCAGAGCCTTTGTTGGCTAATGGCATTTCTGAACATTGCATTTGTTTAGCAAAGCATCGTTTGTGAAGTTTCCACTTTATTTTTTGCATAGTATTTCTTTATGCCTTAAATGCTTTAATTTTAACACTTCACAACAAAAGTCAAAATCTGTTGTATGAACAGATTGTTTGAAGAATTGATATATCATATAATATCCCAAAATTATGCCATCCAAGGGCCTTGTCAGTTTTATCATAGCTGTTGTACTGTAGATAGGGCTCCTTGCGACTGTCAGTGCAAGGGCAAGTCTGTGTTAAAACTGTCTATACAGTCTGTTTTTGTAGACTTGTAGACTTCCTGTGATTGGTTTATTCAACAGGGCAATATAGTATTGTTGACAAGCCCTCTGGGAACAACCAGTATTGCTGGCTTGAATAATTGTTCAAAAGGTAAAGCTGTGAAAATTATCCATATCCTGGAAGCTCTGTAACAAAAATGCTATTTCTGTAGAGTATCAGATAAACAAAAACTATTCCAGACCATACTCAAAGGGCATTATTTATCATTGTCTTTTGCTTGCGTTCACAACATTTTACAGAGGAGCTATAAAAAACTGTTTTTCAGAGGCTGATTCTTTAAAAATGAACAGAAAGCATGCGTACCGGTGTGTGTGGAGGGAGGGACTGAGCACTTTCCTTAGAAAAACAGAAAATAGGTATCGATGTGAGTCATGCTGATTTAACCAATAGTTTTATTTCTTTGCAGAAAAGCAAAATTCATGCAGGGAAAAATGAGCACTTGGCTTTTTCTAAACTGGTAATCATGTGTTTTATTTTATTTTCTTCTACATGAATCAACATGAAACAACAACATGGATCTTTTGGTAATTAGATAATTCTATTCCATAATTAAGACGTGTTAAATATGACGCGCTGAGCCTGGAATTGTATACAATGTGTTAAGAAAAATACATATTATGATGCACTGTATACTCCTTGAAGAAACCATTCTGCTAAACTGTGTACAGTATCTCTAGAACCCATTTGTCTCTGTCTAAGCTCCACCTTTGCAAACATTTTGGAAATTCTCAGTCACGTCTGGGTATTCCACTGAGGGCTTCACTTTGTCATAATCACTTTAATATCATTCCTTACAAATTCAATTAGAGACAGTAAATAAAGAATTACGACTTTGACTGCTGTTGCCCTAGAACTGTATATTGAAGAAGGTAATATGTTTTTAATGAGATAAAGCTTTCAAATGCAGTTTGAGAAGGAATAATCTTGCTATAATTCTCATCACTTACATAACTTCTACATTCTCTGGAGGTTTTGCTGTTTGGGAAAAAAACATACATTGTTCTGACTTTCCTGAAGACACTGTTTCACTCCTGAAATTGACATTTTGTTTCCTATGGTGAGTTAAGCTTTAGTTACAAAAAGGAGCACCAACCTCTGACCTCCAAGCGATCAGAAAGGATTTAAAATGTTTAAAGGAAGACTTCAACTTTCTTCACCTGAGTTCTTTCACTTTCTCCATGTGAGCAATGTCCTTCTCCATTACTAAACGTTTAACTTCACACTTTAAGAGGCAGCAAACGCATGAGTTGCTCAATCTTGTTTCGCAATAGCAAGATTATACAGCTCAGGAATTCCCCTCCATCAACAGACCACACATTAAGGACCACTTTTCTCCCTCTCCTCTCTTGATATAAAACACTTTTGCTTCGTGACAACTTAAGTGGACAATGTTTTGTGAATACAGCACAGTTTTTGCTCTAAATATAGACTGAGCACATTTAAAAATCAGCTCATTAATACTAATTACTAAAGGATCTATAATGAATCTGTACTAACAGTCCAGGTGCAAACTTTAATACACATTAATTATCCCAAACACTGTTATTACACATTGTGTTTAAAGTACATCTTATTTAACATACTTTAGACTGTTCATCTGAAAGCCTGAGTAGAGTACTTATTTTTAAAAAATATTTCAGTTCAAATAAACATTTATGTTCATTTTCAAATATATTTCCATTTTGATGAAACTGTCAAATGGTACTTGACTCACAATACTGCAACAGAGCATGCAAACAAATGGTCATTTGTTTTGGTGAGAACATTCTGCCCTTTTCTAAGAGTCACTA